ACCGGCGGCGGTGGGGCTCCCGTTTGCCGGGGCTGCCGCAGGCTGTTGGTAGCGGCGGGCGCAGCGGACAGCCGGGGCCGGCCCGGGCGGAGGGAGGGGGCGGCAGGGGCAGGTAAGGGGTCGTTGGCAGCCAACGGGGCAAGCCCGGTGTCCTGCACGTCCTGGCGGGGTTCAGCTCCGCAGCCAGGACACCTGGGGCTGGTTCTCGGTGCTTGAAGGGAGAAATGAAAAAATGAGCGCAAGGCGGAGTTGAGAGGGATTTTTGCGTCTATCAAGAGAGCAGTCCGTGTTAGGGCACAGACAGTCGGTCTGGCCACGGGCTGGCGGTGAAAAGTTGTGAAGGTGTCTCACCCCACCGCCTTTCCTTTGGCGGGTGAGGTGTGTATAGCTACAGGAGGTTCCCCCAGAGCATCAGGAAACCCTTTTTCACTCTGAGGGTGACCAGGTTGCCCAGAGAGGTTGTGGGTGAGCTCTCCATCCTTGGAGATACTCACAACCCCCCTGTGCGTGGCCCTCAGCAGCCTGCTCTAGGTAGTCCTGCTTGAGCAGAGGGCTGGACCAGATGGACCTCCAGAAGTCCCTGTCAACCTCAGCCCTTCTATGACTCTGTCATTAACAACTTACTATAGAAAAACAGATCTTATACTGCCTTTTTTTTTTCTCTGCTTTTAGTTTTCTGCTTAATTTATTATTCGTTGACTGCTTTCCAGGGGCACATGCTCACACATGTGCATTCCTTCCTCGAGGTTTTTCTATTCTCCAGTTTATCCCCAACTTTTTGCCTTCAGCTTCAGTCCCTTGGCTAGAGCTGCTTTTCTGAATCATTACTGAAAGCATGTGACCAATGTAGTAATTAAATACACACTCTGAAGCCTCTCCCTGATGCAGATTTGCTGCGTTGGGGTAATGAAGAGGCTGTACCCTGTTTGTGTCTCTCCAGAAATGAAGTTCCAAGTACGGTTTGATCCTCAAAGAAGCCTTGAGTCACAGCAGTCCCATGCCTCCATAGCTGACTTTATTAAAATTATTTTCCAATAAAGGAAAATTCACGTGATGGGGAGAAAGCCACCTGCTAGATATTCTTATTTTCACCTTAAAAATTAAATCTAAAGGGATAAAGGATGCTGTTACATTGATTCCTTTCTTGATGCTGTTGCTTTCACTGTTCTTCCCTTCTGCAAATAAATGACATCCTTTCAGCTCTTATTGCTAAATCAACTTAAGTAGGCTGTAGTTTGTCTTTGAACTAATGAGGAGAGTGCCCAGATTGCCCATTCCCACATGTGCTCCATGGCTATAATGGGAGAAGGACTATAGCATAACCGATATCTGTCCCTTCTTTCAGTTCCTGGGGAATAGGATTCCTTGCAACAAGTAAGTTACATCCTGGATGAGACAAACCTACCTGTAAAGCTGTATGAGCAAAGTGCAATGCATAATTGTAGCACAGGGGAATGTTTTGTTTGTTGCTGTAATTTTTTGATGTAACGTCTGCCAGGAACACAAATTTGTAGCTTTTTGCTACAGCATTTTTTGAATACGTAAACACAGTAGAGACTTGGTAACCTGCACATTCTTGCTTCTCTACAAAAATTACAAGGTTTTCCTTGGCATGCAGTAGGGAGTTGTCAGCGTAGCTAGCTTTCATATTGGTGTGTGTGGACTTGTTTTACGAATTCGTATTGTGATAGGTTAGAGGAGAAAAATCAGTTTAAAACTATCTAAAGATACCTATTGAAGCAGTAGCTCTCCTTACCCAGAGCTGTGGTTGGTGTCTGAGCTCCAGTCTTTTACTTGGCGTTGCCATCAAGTTTAAGTTTTCCTTAGAGTCGCGCAGTGCTCATCTGTTTGCCCTTTGGAGTCTGTCGGTTCTCCAGCAGCTCCAGCTGTGGAGTAGGACAGGAGGGACTTTGGGTACAAGCACTGTTGGCCCCCATATACACACTCGGTTTTTCCTTCACGTTCTGCATCTGTGAACTACTGTTTTCTTATTATTTCTTTCAGGCCATTATAACTGAACACAAACAAACCATGCCTCTTCCAGACACCATGTTTTGTGCTCAGCAGATCAAAATACCCCCTGAGCTACCTGATATTATGAAGAAATTTACTAAAGCTGCTATTAGGACTCAGCCTCATGACGTTTTGCAGTGGGCAGCTGCGTGAGTATGATGTTCGCATAATGATCTCGTGTTGTGCCAATGGACCCACAAAATCTCACTGCTCCTGTTTGTTTATTGTGCAGTGGAGCTGGCTTTGAATATTAAACCAACCTGCATATTGCATACACACCTCTGTGCATTAATGCAGCATGTGAGCCTTTTAAAAATAGTGTAATGCTTGATTTATTTTCTCTTTCATTGTGGTTTATGACTGCATATTTCTGGAATAGTTTGATTTCCATACAGAAAAATATATCTTAATTTTTTTGTTATTAATTTCTTTCCTGAAGAGCAAACTTTATTTCCCCCTCCTCTCATGTGTGTCTTAATTTTTGGAATTTAGAGGAAACCTAGAAAATAGCTTTCTATTTCTTAAGCTTGCTTAGGTTTCTTCTTTTTTTTTGTTTTCAGGAACAAAATTAAGGAGTCTCCTTAAATGTTACTGAAATAGGAAAAGAGCTTGAAAAGTTGCAAATTTTAGGTGATAGTCCACACAATAAAACTCTGACTGTGAAATTGATTTAAGGTGTTTAAAAGTTTCTTCTTTAACTTTTTTTTTTCTTTTGACTTCAACTGCTCACTATCATTTTTTCCTGTCCTGCAGCTTTTGTGGACAAGCTCTTGAAAGTATCTGTGAGATGCTCACAGTTGGACTGAAAAACCTCTGTAGTGTGTATGTGAGGCAGGGGGAGGCTGTTAATAAAGCCAGGCTGGAGTCTGGCTTGTCCATTAAAAAGCAAAAAACCTGAAGCTGAGTTGCTACAGTTGCAGGGTTGGAAAAAGGCAGCGGGAACAGCTTAAAACAGCATGGTGTTTCTTAGGAAGGTGATGGAGGTGGGGTGCAGCGTACCTCCAGGCCATGGATGTGCAGGGAGCTTTTCCCAACCCAGCTGTCAGGAACAGCAGCCACCAGGTAGCTTGATCCTGCTGGGACGTGGGGCTGGTGAGAGCAGGGGCAGTAGGGCACTGCCATGGGTATGCCACAGGCCAGCCCCCAGCCTCTGCTTAAAGATTGCACCAGCTTGGTTGGAGGAAGCCAACGCAGACGGGCAGGCGGCTGCTGCTGATCACACAGCTCTCCTTCTGGAATGTGCTGTGGTGTGAGAGCATCTGGGGCAGGGCAAGGTCTGACCTGGGAGCCACGTGAAGCAGAGCAAGGCTGTGGTTTCAGATGCGCTGCTCATGTTGTAGTGCTTGTCCCTGTCAATAATCAGATGGGGAAACAGATCCGGATGAAAAATAGCCCAGGTGTTACATGTGCATACGTGCCATGCATCTCTTTCTATAGTCTCACTAGTTCAGTTCTGCAGGGCTGCTTGCTGTGCCTCTTGGCAAGTAGTTGCACGGCATGGGATAGCCTGGTCACGGATGTGGGTGACCAGGGCAGAGGAGGGAGGACAAGTGGAGAAACCCTTAAATTAGACCTACCACTGAATGAATGGAAAACTAAGTTTTCCTTGCACAGTTCACATCACTGGCCAGATCTGCCAAAGGTGGTTGCTTTTAACACCGTGGTGGCCTTATAATTTAAAGGATGTACATCTAATTTCCTTTCTGCTCTAGTCTTAAACTTTATTTTGCAGTGGGCAGAAGTAGCAGAAACACTGATGAGAGAGATGCAGCATAAATAGCCAGTTGTGCTTTGTAGGTAGCCTGTGAGGGGGATGTTAAACAAATGAGTCCTTGGGTGCTCATCAATCAAACGGGAAAAGCCTGTGCTTTGGTTTGTGAGCACACTCTGATGTTAGTAAATCACTCTCAGCTTTATCAAGAAGGTCTGAGTTTGTCATGCACAAAACATGATAAATGCCTTAAGAATTACTAGAGCGTCATGAAAAGGAGTGTGCACAGTCTAAAGTCTGTGGTTTCCACTGAAAAGAAAGTGTTATCTGGGCTCGGGGAGATGAGCAGGGAGCTTACCAAGTGCTGCCACTCCTGCACGGGAGCATGGGGATTCATTCACTCAACTGTGAGAGCATTTACTTCTGTGCAGCTTGTAATGGCCACAGGCATTGAAGTGTGTTGCTCTCCCCGTTTGCTTAGGTACTTTTCAGCCTTGTCAAAAGGTGAGACCCTTCCTGTGAAGGAGAGGATTGAAATGCCTTTAGCAACAGAGAAAGCAGATGCCGGTTTGACACCAGGACTCCTTAAAATCTTGCACAAACAGGTACAAAGTGGCCTTTATCAAGTGTACAATGCTGTTGAGGAATGCTGGTATGCTGGGGATGGCTGGGGAGACTCAATGTCAGGTATTTGATTTATTTTGGGGAGGTTCTTAGTTTCATTTTGGTTTTCAGAGTTCTTACTGTGGTGCTGTGATTTTGTTTAAAGCTTTCTCCCAAAGACATGGTGAATGTTGCAGAATTGAAGGAAAAATGGAAGCACTTGTGCTTGTCAGAGGAGCAGCTGGACACTATCCTGCAGTTGGACGACTTCGGTGAGGAGGTGGAATGGATGAAGTTTCTGGCACTTGGGTGCAGCGTGCTTGGCAAGGTACCTTCACAGCAGGAGCCCTTGTATCCAAAAGCAAATGACCATATATGACTGCATGTGATGTAGGCCATAGACCAAGTAAGGCAAATGGACTTTAGAGAATGGTAATTGTTTTTGCAGCAGCTGGCAAAGTGGCTTGTATGTTTATTTCTGTCCTCCATCAGCTTGTGGTCAAGGAACTTAACCAGGAAGAGGGCTAGGTCCTCAGTTTACTGGAATGGCAGTAGAAGAGCAAACATGTCTGCAGGGAGCTTGGACCATGAGAGAGAGGATGATAGAGGAATGATGCGTATGGAATCAGCATAAATGTCCATGGAGGAGAACTGGAGGGAGAAATTAAAACATCAATTTTTAATTGATTGTGTGGTCAATTACATTTTCACGGAAGCAGTTAATGTTACTAAATCTACTTTTAATTCTTTTAATGTCAGTAATAAAATCTCAGCAGAGCATTTCAACAGAATAAGAGATTATGGAATGCACTAAGCTGATGTTCTTATGAAGTATAATGCTTTTAATGATTTCTACAGTAGGGAAGAAGGGATATTAAAAAGAACATACTTATTAAATAATATTTTGAGAAAGTTGCAATATCTGGAAGCCCTGAATGTTGACCTGGCCTGGCAATGCAATTGTGTGTATAGATACATGTATTCTTTTCCACTGTGTATTCCTTGATTCCAGTTCCCCTCCCAACATAATTTTGTAGTTTGGGCTCTTTTCTTCATTTAAAAAAAAAAGGTAACAGCAATGTTACTTATTTTAAAAAAAAATCAAATAAAACCAAAAACAGAGTCACAGGAACATCATTCTGATGGAGCTAGACAGACTAAATTTACTTCCATCTATACATCCTTTCAGATATTAAGTGAATTATTTAATTTCAGCTCTACATAATGAAACCTAAACTTCAGTTTCCTAAACCAGAGAGGAAGATGCACAAAATAAATTTTCATTAATTTCCTGCAGCTGTAAATTCTGTTCATGGTTGAATAGGGTCAGTTAAGATACAAGAGTAGACAAGTGTGAACACCAGTCATCTGAAGTATCTTTCTGTAAAGCACTGGTACATTTTTACAGCCTCAGAGAAATGACCATACAGGTAGCTTGTTAAATTGTCCTTCAAATGTGGTGAAATTGATGTGAATAACTTTGCTGTGTTGGGTTGTGGAAGAGAGAGACAGTGGCAGCTTGCCGTGGCAGGAGCAGAGGGCAGCGTCTGCCGTCATACCCAGGGGAGGAACTACATTAATTAAAACTATTGAAGGATCATACGATAACTCTTCTGGCCTGTACTCTAGATCTTGAACAGATATTGCATTTATTTTAAATATTGGCATTCTACTGTTAGGAAATAAGCTTAACATTTTGCAAAGTCATTGCTTTCTTGTTAATGAAGAGGTAAGGATAAATTTTGGAAAAGCTATAGCAAAAATGTCTTTTTGTTTGTTTCTTTGTTTTAATGGAATCCAGTCTTTGACCCAGTGTAGCTCAATGCTGAATTTTTCCATACATTCCCCCATTTAGCTCATCATGTGTAGGGCACTGGATTATATACAGGATTTTTTTTTCAAACAATATTTGGAACTAACACTTTTAGGCATGTTTGGTTTTAAGGGAACTCACACGTTACTGGGCTTTGACTGCACCGAAACATTCTTGAAATGCTTTTTGCCTCAGTACTTTTTCTACTAACTATTAAAATGGAACTTGCATACAGATAGGGAAAACAGTAAATATCAGCACTGCTAAAAATTAATACCATCTAATACTGTGTCGTAACAAAAATCATCAAACCCATATGAATTTTCTGAGATTTTTAGATTTGACTGTCTTAACTGCTGCCAAGAATTAATTTAGTCCATTGAGATAATAAACACACACACAAACACACATATATATCTATCATCTCACTAGGTATAGTGATGTTGGAGCTTTTACAGCAGCAGAACAGAGCAGTTTGGCCATACTGGAGAAGGGTCTCACACTACCCCGTGCAATCTTTAATCACAGGATTCCAGTATTTTCCACTCCTTTCTCTACTAGAACTACATTATTGTTTCCATCCCTGGACCTGTACTGGAGGGTAAATTTGGGATTGAAAGCTAGGTAATGCTGATAAAGCCTTCATCTTATTTATATTCACTTTTAGTGGTTTACAGTGTGGATTTTGTCACAGTATGCAAAGAATGTTCGTGGCTTATACCGTTTCTCTTCTTTCTTGCCTGAACCCCCTGCAGTCCTTGCTGAGTTCAATGAAACACGCCTGCGAAATCCTAACAAAAGACCCAGAAGGTGGAGCAGCTCGCGTTCCCTTCGAAACATTCTCATTCCTTTACTCATATTTGGCCCGCATTGATGGAGAGATACCAGAGGAGAAAACTGAAGCATTCCTCCATGGAATTAAAGAATATGCGTAAGTAAAACATCTGTGCATGGAATTTTAATGTATTGATCACCTCTGGGTTCTCCGTAAACCTTTAATTTCAGGTGAATAGCCTATATTCACTTTGGGCGTAGCCGTGATGACAGGAGTAAAGTTTGACTAAGGTTATATCAGAAGCATACATAGTTATTTCTTGTTAAGTGGTCAGCCTCAGGGTTTGAACTGTTAAATGATAAATTGTTATTTATCCATCTTTCTTTGAAATATTGAAGTCCCTATCTGGTGGTATGATTTCCCCTGTAGGAAGCAATTATATGCAGGTTTGTATCATCTGCATATTATTGGTACTGGAACTGGCAGCATCTTATGTGCTGCTTTTTTGGTTTAACATAGATCATAAGCTAGAGAGAGAAACTGGGAGTTCCCACTTGAAGTCTGAAATTTCTACTGTGTTTCTCCTGAATTACTTCTCCCTAGAAACTTTCTTGAGAAAACATCTAGTATGCACTTGGTCTTAAATGGTTTGGCTCTTCAGCTTTTGTAGTGTTAGCTCTGGTAAATTGCTCCTACCACTGTTGCTTGGCCAGCGGTGGGTCTGTCTTGTAGCCAGCTGGCATTGGCTCTGTCAGACACGGGGGCAGCTTCTAACAGCTTCTCACAGAAGCCACCCCTGTAGCCCCCACCAGCTACCAAAACCTTGCCATGCAAACCCACCACACTTGGATTGCTACCAGCTTCATGTACATGGGAGCTCAAAAATGCAGGAGCACACAAACGAACTGCTTTGTTGTAATCTGTCATTACAACTACCAGATTGACCATTTTTAGTAAGAACCACTTTTTAATCATGCTGCTTGTGCTTACAGTTAATATAACCCTCAATTGTATCCTGTCCAACACACTAGGATGTACCATCTTAAAGTGTTGATCTAAAACATTTGATTTATTCCTTTCCAGTGACCAACAACATGGCATGGTGCTGCTCAGAAACTTTCTGACCCCTAGCCCTTTCTTTTGATCAAGCCTAATCTTCAGCAGCAGGTGAGAAGGAAAAAAGAAAAAGGAATAAACATGTGAAAGAAAGTAATTTGTGTTCAAAGGACCATTATTTGCACATTAAAATACAAGGAGACCCTCCTCTCTGGCACTTGCCCTTGTCTGCATGAACGCTCTATTAAACAAACAGTTTTACCAAGCCTTACTCAGGAGAACTTCATGAGAACCTTGTGGCTGAGCTAGTAGAAGAAATATCAATTCAAGAAAGGAGTGCAATGGTTCCATATGGTTTTCCCCCTAATTAAGACCCTTTCAGAATTTAAATATCTTTTTCCATTCTTAGATGGACTTGCCTAATTAAGCACCTGTTTTAAAACATGTCTTGTTTTCTGACAGAAAAAGATACTGCATTTGTGATGTAGGTCTGGAATGCCTGACACAGAGTTCAGTTTGGTCTTGAGCTGAACAGCTGTGGTAGGTACAGAAGTCTAAATCAATCGGAACTGGACTAAGTATTTAGTGACAGATGGTCACACTTAATTGCAGAAACAACAGAGGTGAGAGGCAGGATACTAGTGGCTACGGTAAAACCAGAGAGATTCCATTGACAGAGAAGGCCAAAGCCAGGAGCCCTATCTTGGCAACTTGATCAAACTGAAAAAAAGTATGTAGGAAAGATGAATCTGCAACCTTGTTCTTTTATAGTTGCTTATTTTGTTAACAAGCTTAGCTGATGATGACTGACCTTGCTGTAGTAGATTGTGTGAGGAATTAACAGGACTAGAAATTGATAATAAAATTAAGACTAAAAATCTCATTGAAGTTAAGTGTAAGTTTATATATACCTTCACCTCTTAAGTCTTACTGTTTTATCAGCCTCTAGCACTAATACTTACATGTTAATCTATAGGATGGGAACTTCTCCTGGTTATTTCTGGAAGGAAATGGGTATGCAGCTGGTGTTTGAAAATGGCAGTCAGCAATATTCCAAGCACCCTTAGGTGGGAGGGAAGCCGAGGAGCTCTCTTCATGCCTTTTCCATTTGTAATTCTTCCTAGACTCCAGGGACTGGCTCTGTTCTATATCCACCAACTACGGGCCAGGAAAGCAAATTAGTACAGCCCCTCGCAGATTTCATTCTTCAACCTTGTCAGACTAAACTCAACTAGATGAAAGAGATGATCAACATAATTTATTAATAGTTGCATTAGTGTTACAGATATACACATTTTCTAATATATACTGCTTCCATCCTGACAAACCTTAACACCATTTCATTTTTGACTCCAAGCGCAGCTCTGATGCAACACCAGTATTTTGTACACAGTGTCACTGTCCCTGGCACAACGGCAGGAATGACAGTTCCTCTGCAAGTAACTTTTTGAATGGCTGACAAACAAAATAATCAGGTTCTTGTTTCTACTTTCTTCTTTTATGGCTGTGATACTTGTCTTCATCCCTGAAATGAAACCACAAACATTGTGTGGGCTGTTAGGCTCAGACTGACAGAATCTGAAGGAAAAAAAATACTCAGAAAATGCAAAGCTCTCATTAAACATAATCATGTCCTCTTTTTAGGAAAGAAAGTAAACTACATCCAGACTGCTGTTTTAATCAAAGCCTTGTCATGCAGCACCATAGCTGCAATTAGTTTAGGATGAATGGCATCACTGTGTAACAAAGCTGATTTTGAGACAAGCAACCCTTCCCACCCATGCAGTTATCTACAGCATTTCTTCCCTACGCACCAGGGACAACGCAGCGTTTCTTCTGCACAACAGCCTAAGTCTTTGCCCAAACACCGGTCCCACAAGCCTACGGTCTTGCAGACACAAATGTGCTCTTGTTGATGGTATTAGAAGGTCTGGTCTAGATTTTTTTTCTTTTGCCTAAAAACACACCCAGAACTACTGAAGAGCAACAGCATTGTTTTGAAGTATCTACCATGGAAAAGCTAGTCAAGTGATTGTATGTATATACATATAACAAACAATCCCATTTATTAAATCCCAGTGCAAGCTAGAGCAGAAATCAGCATTAGACAGGACAAGCACACTTAGTTAAATAGACAATATGTCCCTTTATGCAAATGTCGATAACGAGTAAACTAATCTGTGCCAGTACTGTGCTAGTCCTGCAGTGTGCTGGTGAAAGCATCACCTTTCAGATGCCAGAGTAAATTCTGAAGGCTGGATCACAGTTATGATCTCACATCACGTTCTGTTTAGTGTTAGTAGCCTCATGCCACTGGCTTGTTATACTGTATATGAGATTAGCCTACCTTTTTAATTGGACTAGCTATTCTAATTCTCTGCACTGAATTCCTACAGCTGCCCAACTCAGAAGTGGACTTCATCCGTCACTATTTATGCCCACCTCTCTCTTTTTCTCCGAGAATCTCTGTCTTTGCCTCTTTCGCGGCTCCTTTTTCGTTTACTTGGACTCCTGCTCGTGTCTCGCCTGTGTCTGGTGCGCTCCGTATCCTTGCAGCTCCCTCCAGACTGCCGCGAGTCCACTGACGCTGACCGCCTCTCTTCCCTTCTGAAAAATAGGTTATTGATCCTATTCAATAAAAATTGTGTCACGGTCACTATTGTTTTCAGTACCACATTTGTAATATAATGACCAACTAATGGTGTAAGACAGAGGACATATCTTTTATTAAACCTCTCTATCTCCCTAAGAAATAGAATACCTCCCAAAAGAGGCCAAAGTCCATGCTCTTATAGGTGCATACCTCAGCACACTATTTAATGCAGTTATTTCTTACAAACACTGCCCCTCAGCATTATCACCTCTGCTTGTAAAACAGAAGACACTCTTTTGCTTTAAATCCCTACCTTTTCAACCACCTACCTTAAGCTGCTACCTACAGCTGGAGAACCTAGATCTCCTGTATGGCCTTTTCCTTCAGCTTCCATTTTAATGCTAAAAACAAACATCTCGAGTGTTACCTTTTAGTTTGTTTCAACACCACTGTCATCTCAAAGATCTCCTGAAGAAGCACAAATAGACCATCATTAGGTCATGAGTCCATTTTTGTTTCAGCAGTGTGCAGCATTGCTCGACACAAGAAGAAATACGTGTACATAAACCACGCTGCCAGTTAGCAGCATTCACAGTGAAAAGAGCGGTAAAGGTTCCCCATATTTAGTAAGTTAGGAAAACCTTTTCTCTGAGGTATTTTATAATATATCTACCATAGCATTTCCTGTCGTGCAGTAGCAAAGAGAAAGAAATTGTGTACTTGTATTTTCAAGTGTCCTTCTGTCCCCAGCTATCACATACATACGCATTTGGAGACAGAGGGAGCACTCTTCATTCCCCAGCTCCACCAGAAACTACCTGGATCACGTGTAACTTACATCCTTACCCTTGAAAGAAAGCTATTCATTCATTTTACCCATCCTTCATGCAGACAAAGCTTCTCAAGCAAGAGCTTAGCAGAATAAGTATAAAATAAACTGTGTATGTGTCTCAGCCAAGGTTGGTATATGTCCTATTAGAAAGAGGTAGCAGGATAACACTACAGGCTATCGGGCTGCTGATATCCCTGGGGAATTTGCCAACTGTGACATACCTTCCTGAAGATTTTGACTTCCCTCCTTCACACATCTCTGCATTATCCAACCGATTCTCCTCCTGCCAGTGATTGCTGAGTTCTTCCATATGCACACCAATCACATCCCGAATCACCTGGAGATTAAGACACATTAAGAAAAAAAACAGTAAGAAAAGCACCATGCCATGGTAGCAGCCTGAACTAGCAAATAGACAGCAGAAGGTAAACATCCCCCCCAAAAATATAAACAAATAAATAAAATCACCCCAAACTCTATATATCAGCTGTTTGAATAGAAAGTCTTATTTGGAGGAACAGGTATTTCAGCATCAATTTAAATAACACCATTTTAGAATAGACAGTCAACTATATCTTGCTGGTAGTTTCACATTCAAAATTTAAGTCAGAAATGCTCCTGTTATTTGTAACTTGCTGCAACAAACCAAAGAGATTCCTCTGTAGTTTGCAACTCTAATAAGGCAGGGTACAAGAAGCAGAAAGAGAGAGATAATATCTTTGTCCAAAAGGGTATATCATTATTTCTGCTGATATGCAATAAGCACTTTCATGTAAAATCTCACCTCAGTGTAAGACTTCTTTGTTATATGAACATTCTTAGCCCTGTAGGACTGCCGCCGCCTTTTGTAGTCTCGCATTTCAGCCAGAATTTCAAGATGGGACTTCGGACCTTTCTGACTATCATCTAGCAAAAAATTGGAAATAAAACAAATTATCATTAGCTGGACATCAGCACCTGCAGGTATGCAGGTCTGTGCTTGTGTACACAATCACAATACACAATATTGTAAACGCAATAAAATATAGTATTTTTTCTGAAGTTTCTCCAGCATTTATGAATTTAGCACAAGCTTCCTCTCCAACCTCCTTGGTAGCTGTTTACACAAGACTAGGAAGCCACCAAGCAAACCTCGTTATGTGATCTCAGTCTCCTAACAGCAATCCAAACCAATTTACAGGCTTCCAATACGGTCAAATACCTACAAAATACTGGCCACAGTATTACAATAAAAGACTAAGACTGAGAAAGCCAGATTCTGTAAAATATTTACCTGTGTAGGTGACAAATACTGTCTCCTACCTCCGAGGCACAGCAGGGCCCACAGGATAAGACAGATGCTGATGTTGCAGTTGGTACAGTTACAAACTGGCAGGACTCAACAGGGATGAGAGGCCTCAGTCCAATACACTCATTTGTATATTGCTCAAGAGCTCCCATCGGAGCTCTGCCAACCTTTCTTGTTCAGCTTTTAAGTGATTTTTAATCTCATCATCTCTTACAGCAAATACTGTCACAAGCTGCACAGTAAGTTGGCAACATGAAGCAACCCGAAGTCAGTTGCAGCAAAGACAAAAGATCCATCCACTAAGATACACACAAGGTGTGTGCCAAGAGCAAAGCACTGTGGCTTTTGCTAAAGGAAAACAACATCAAGGATACCAAACTAGTGTTTTCTGGTGCCAGGTCTCCCTTGTGGCTTTTAGGAACAGTATGTTTTTCACAATAAAAATAGCACAAGCAATTCTGTTTGGCTTTCAACAAAACTCATCTAACTACAAAGTGCAAGTTCTGAGCCATAAATTCAACAACAGATCGTTCTTCATACCTTGGGTGATTTTTGCTGCTAAATCCACAAAGAGATCACTGTCATTTTCCGTGATTTGGGATCTAGACCTCTGTTTCTTTGTTTCCTCAACAACATAATCATAAAGAGTGAGGCGATCGGCTTGGGTCAGGTCACAGGTGAAACGCTTGTGATTTTGAGGAACTTCTACAGGCAGTAATGAGTAAGATCCTGGAAGTTGAACAGACAGCTGTCATTAGTAAAACAGCATAATTATACAGGAAAACACTGAGAAAGCTCAATGAACAATGCAGTAAACACACATGCTGTTTTCATCCTTCCCCCACATATCTGTAAGATGTTTCATCCTTCTTAATTTCAAAGGACAAAAATTGCCCAAAGAAAAATAGTTGAACTTAGTATTGTCCCATAAATTTCAGCTCTTGCTTTACAAACTAAACAGAGAGGGGGCTGCAGCTCTGGCTGGTGGATTTGTCTTACTTCTAAAATTTTCTGTTAAGTACTAGCTGCAAAATACCTGTTGTTCTGCCAACAAGAATGAAAGCTTCCAGGATGCTAGATAACTGGGCACTATGCAAATCAGTCTCACTAACACTGTCACTTTCTCTACCAAGCTTTTATAATAGACTGCCACAGGCATTGAAAGCTAAAAAGGCTACAAAGGCGCTTTCAAAATGCTCCAGATTAGTTCAGATAATTAAGTTTAAAGTTACAAAAAGAAACACACTGCCCACTCACCCTTTCCCTGAATGATCAGCCCTGTACTCGCTCTTCCCACCCTCTGTTAAAACACACATCCTTCAAATAAACAATAAATCCATTCTCAATCCACTGCAACAGCAGCAAGTGACTTCCCTAAAGATACAGAATAGGATATCACCTGCATAAGAGCATTTTACTCGAGAACATTCAAACTCCCAGCAACCATTGACTTGATTTCCATTATCCTGCTCCTCACAACGCAACCTTCCCCTGCAAGGCAGAATCCCGCGCAGACAAACGTGCCCCAGCAGACAGAAGAGCCAACACATAAGACGGGGTGTATACAGGAGCCCTCACAACAGCAAAGCTACTGCTTCTCTAAATTATTCAGCACTTAACAGAAGCTGAGCCAGTCTTCCGCATCCTGCTTTCACTAAAGACACCACAGAAGAGGAAGAAGAGCCACAATAACTCTACAACAACAGACCTAAAATACAAGACTTCCTAATTACTGCTACTCAGAACTTAAACCAGAGCTTTTCTAATCTGAACTAACATATCTAAACACAAACCCTAGAATTTAATTTTAAAATGCACTGTTCTTACAGGGTCACAGAAGCCCATAAAAGTGCCCTAATAGTTACATGCTTGTGATTTTACAAGAATTTCACAATTTGTGACTAAGACCAGCTTTCCTGTCATATTATATAGCTATTCTAATATTGGAATTTTTTAAAAACAAAAAAAGAAAATTACTTCCTTTGATACAGTTAATGAAAGGTAATCTACATGAAAAATGCTTTCCGTTTGTTTCTACTGCCAAAGACTTTAAATTAAACAAACAATTTCAAGTCAGTAAATCTTACAACAGGCCGAGATGCCACAATGAAAACCACCCCGATACAGCTTTAGTGTTATCTTCAGAGAAATGCAAGGTTGCAGTGAAATGTGGATAGCAAACACTGGCATCTAGTGGCTCACTGATATATCTCTGCAATGCACTGCTTGATAAAGGGTTTATTTGCTTCTCCCCTACTTGGTTGTGCTTGTGTCAGATCAGTGAGTTACCACTTCCCTCCAGAGGAAATGCACCCAACGTGCTCCGAACACAGCGCCCATCACATGAGAGCTCCTTCCTGAGCAACTGTCTGTAAAGGCTCCATTTGCTACGCCAGAGAAACAAATGAACGTGAAAAGCTATGTCCGAGCAAGCACTGCTGTATGTGACTGTCAGGAAAGTAGAACAAATGCTCTTTTCCTTCTGCCCACATATGTTTACCAAACTAAAGGACTACGGACAGCAAATGCTGTGTCTTTCCGGTGTTGCAGTAATTTCCAAACCATACACCGCAGCTCTATAGTAGTTTCTATAGGCAGCCCTACTTTTCTACTGTCGTGGTCTGGACTCTCAAAGAGAAGCGTAGCTCAGTCTTAACTTGGTCCCCAGACTGGTCACAAAACCCACTGAAAAAATTAAACATAAAGGAACTAATGAGCTGAGAGCAGTGGCAAAGGACAACATCATATTTGCAGATGTGTCGGCATATTTCTTATATAACTTCTTAGGGCAGTCTTGAAACAATCCAACATAATTATATGCTTGTTGTTTGGATTTTGATCTGGGGAATGGTGGACAAGCACATACAGCTCACATCTAGCAATTAATCCTTAAACAAAACATTACATGAAGAACAAGGCTGGAGGCAGCATTAGAAGAGTCTGGGCCACAAAGAGCAGAAGGTCAGTATCAGAAAACGCAGACAGAAAGTGTAGGTAGTGGGGTGGGAAATGAAGTGCTATAAGAAACTCCAGAATTTTTGCAGTGCTGATTTTCCAGTCCTGAAGAGAACTACAGGCACACACACACCAGACTCAAATTCTCTCACCTAGCTGCCCCAAATACAGAAAGTAAGTATCCTCCAAAATACACAAGGGAAGGCATATTAAAAAAAAAATAAATTCCTCACAGCAGTTCAAAAGTGGAATGAAGGAAGCTGTGAGGGGGAAGACAAAAGCAGCTCTCCACATGAGAGCCGATGAAGCTGTCTCGGTATCTGGTTGCTACTTACCTTCACTGAAGCCTGTACCTTCTTTTGCACTTTGGGCTCTAGCTTGCTTAACAATGTGAAACTGTAGATCTTTATCTGCAAACCGAGAAGACAAAAATATCACATAACTTTTACATCAAATACTTGGAAAATAACTTAAGAGGAAAAAAAAAAAAAAAGGATCTTCCTTGGATTTGAAGGCGAGAAGAGCCAAGTGACCCACAGAGCAGAATTACACAGTGACAGAAGCATAACAAGGGTAAATTAAGGCAAAGTACAACGGTGAGAAAATAAACCTAGTGATGGAAATGCCTTAGAGGCCTTAGAGAGTTTACAGCTGACAAGGCAGGGGGTATGCTGCCCCCCGTCCCTTGGCACCTCCCCTCAGCCCCATCCTCTGCTGTCCCCGGGGATCTCCCCTCAGCCCCTCACCTTTTCCCCCCCCCAGGGATCTCCCCTTAGCCCCTCATTTCTGCTGTCCCCGGGGATCTCCCCTCAGCCCCTCACCCTCTGCCCCCCCAGGGATCTCCCCTCAGCCCCTCACCCTCTGCTGTCCCCGGGGATCTCCCCTCATCCTCTTCCCCTCCGGGGATCTCCCCTCAGCCGATCACCCTCTTCCCCCCTGGGGATCTCCCCTCAGCCCCTCACCCTCTTCCCCTCCGGGGATCTCCCCTCAGCCCCATCCTCTGCTGTCCCCGGGGATCTCCCCTCAGGCCCTTATCCTCTGCACCTCCGCCGAGGTGTCTTCCTCAACCTCCTCCCCATCCTTCGCTCCCCCCCCCGGGTTGTCCCCTCGGCCCCGTCAGGCAAAGCCCCCGCTGCCGCTCACCCATGGCGACGCTGGGAACCTTCAGGTTGTCGTAGAAAAAGCTGGAGTCGTACATCTCCGCCTGCGGGACCAACCGGTTCAGTCAAGGCCCCGCGGCCGCCCCCGGCCACACCGGCTCCGGGCCGGGCCACCCAGTCGCCCCCGGCCAGCGGGGACCCCCTCAGGCCGGGCAGGCGACACCTCCGGGGCAGAAGCGCCAGCTCCGCACCCCGTCCACCCCCCAGCCGGGTGCCCACCTCCTCCTCGGCGGAGTATCCCATCTTGCGGAGCCGGCAGGACGCGGCGTGCCTCTCCAGCGACGCCCGGGGGACGAGGTGATGGACGTCGTAAGGGCACGGCACCCGCTCCACCTGCCGGCGGGACACGGGTCAGCCCGCACCGCCACCACAATCCCCCCATTACCCCCCTGTCCCGGCAGAGCCCCCGACACCGCCTTACCGGGTCCCCCAGCCACACCGCACAGGGCGCCGCCATCGCGGGGTAGGCGGGGCAGCCGACGGGGCCACATGACCGGGCAGGCAGAGCTGGCGCCATGTTTACTGAGCCACATGACCGGGCAGGCGGAGACGGCGCCATCTTGCCCGGCGGCCGGTTACCGGGGGAGGGGAGAACGCACCGCCGGGGCGGCGCGGCGGGAAGCCCGGGGAAGACCGGGGCGAAGGCGCGGCCAGCGGGGGAGAGGGCGCCGCCGACCGGCGGGAGGCCGCGGGTCCCGCCGCCCTCTGCGGGTGCCGAGCGGGGAGCGGCCGCCGCTGAGTGGGGAGCCCGGGGGGCAGCGCTGAAATTGCCCTGTGGGGATGTGTCCTGTCTCCCGGGTCCTGTCTCAACCGGCGGGGAGCTCCGGGGGCCCGAGCCGGGGCCAGGGCTGGCAGCCTGAGGAGAGCACCCGCCGCCGGGCACCCGCCCCGGGCCTCGGCAGCGGCGGGCCGGGTCCGAGCCGGCCGTGGGGCTGCCCCACACCGTGCGGCGTCTCAGGGCAGGAGCGGTGTGGCGGCGACGGTTTTACTGTGAGGGCGCTGGTGCTTCCCTGCTCCTTATCATAGAATCATTCAGGTTGGAAAAGACCGTCAACCCTACTCTACAAAGTTCTGCCCTACACCATATCCCTCAACACCACATCTAAATGGCTTTTAAACACAGTCAGGGATGGTGACACAACCACTTCCCTGGGCAGCCTATTCCAATGCCCGACTACTCTTTTTGTGAAAAACTCTTCCCTAATGTTCAGTCTAAACCTACCCTGTTGTAGCTTGAAGCCATTCCCTCTTGTTCTATCACTAATTACCTGTGAGAAGAGACCAGCACCAGCCTCTCTACAGTGTCCTTTCAAGTAGTTGTAGAGTGATGAGGTCTCCCCTCAGCCTCCTCTTCCTCAAACTAAACAGTCTCAGCTCCTTCAGTCACTCTTCGTACGATTTATTCTCCAGGCCCTTCACCAGCTTCGTTGCCCTCCTCTGCACCCACTCCAGCACCTCGAGATCTCTCCTGTACTGAGGTGCCCAGAACTGGACACAATACTCCAGGTGTCGCCTGAGTACAGGGGGACAATCACCTCCCTACTTCTGCTGGCCACACTATTTCTAGTACAAGCCGGGATGGCATTGGCTTTCTTGGCCACCTGGGCGCACCGCCGGCTCGTACTTTTGGGGCTTTGTGCCATAATGGAGCAAAGTAAAGGCTGAGGGCAGCCTGCTTGTTCTTCGCAGGGCCCAGCCCTGAACTGCTCGCCAGCTTTAGTGAGGCCAGCTGCTGTCCTGAGTGCAGGTGGTGCCCACCTGGGTACTTCAGAGCAGGTGCCACCTTCCCTCGGGCCGGTTAGCAAGGGGACAGGAGGAACATGGGCCTCCTCAGTGCCATCGAGGCCCACACCGTGCGGCGTCTCAGGGCAGGAGCGGTGTGGCGGCGACGGTTTTACTGTGAGGGCGCTGGTGCTTCCCTGCTCCTTATCATAGAATCATTCAGGTTGGAAAAGCCCGCACCGCCACCACAATCCCCCCATTACCCCCCTGTCCCGGCAGAGCCCCCGACACCGCCTTACCGGGTCCCCCAGCCACACCGCACAGGGCGCCGCCATCGCGGGGTAGGCGGGGCAGCCGACGGGGCCACATGACCGGGCAGGCAGAGCTGGCGCCATGTTTACTGAGCCACATGACCGGGCAGGCGGAGACGGCGCCATCTTGCCCGGCGGCCGGTTACCGGGGGAGGGGAGAACGCACCGCCGGGGCGGCGCGGCGGGAAGCCCGGGGAAGACCGGGGCGAAGGCGCGGCCAGCGGGGGAGAGGGCGCCGCCGACCGGCGGGAGGCCGCGGGTCCCGCCGCCCTCTGCGGGTGCCGAGCGGGGAGCGGCCGCCGCTGAGTGGGGAGCCCGGGGGGCAGCGCTGAAATTGCCCTGTGGGGATGTGTCCTGTCTCCCGGGTCCTGTCTCAACCGGCGGGGAGCTCCGGGGGCCCGAGCCGGGGCCAGGGCTGGCAGCCTGAGGAGAGCACCCGCCGCCGGGCACCCGCCCCGGGCCTCGGCAGCGGCGGGCCGGGTCCGAGCCGGCCGTGGGGCTGCCCCACACCGTGCGGCGTCTCAGGGCAGGAGCGGTGTGGCGGCGACGGTTTTACTGTGAGGGCGCTGGTGCTTCCCTGCTCCTTATCATAGAATCATTCAGGTTGGAAAAGACCGTCAACCCTACTCTACAAAGTTCTGCCCTACACCATATCCCTCAACACCACATCTAAATGGCTTTTAAACACAGTCAGGGATGGTGACACAACCACTTCCCTGGGCAGCCTATTCCAATGCCCGACTACTCTTTTTGTGAAAAACTCTTCCCTAATGTTCAGTCTAAACCTACCCTGTTGTAGCTTGAAGCCATTCCCTCTTGTTCTATCACTAATTACCTGTGAGAAGAGACCAGCACCAGCCTCTCTACAGTGTCCTTTCAAGTAGTTGTAGAGTGATGAGGTCTCCCCTCAGCCTCCTCTTCCTCAAACTAAACAGTCTCAGCTCCTTCAGTCACTCTTCGTACGATTTATTCTCCAGGCCCTTCACCAGCTTCGTTGCCCTCCTCTGCACCCACTCCAGCACCTCGAGATCTCTCCTGTACTGAGGTGCCCAGAACTGGACACAATACTCCAGGTGTCGCCTGAGTACAGGGGGACAATCACCTCCCTACTTCTGCTGGCCACACTATTTCTAGTACAAGCCGGGATGGCATTGGCTTTCTTGGCCACCTGGGCGCACCGCCGGCTCGTACTTTTGGGGCTTTGTGCCATAATGGAGCAAAGTAAAGGCTGAGGGCAGCCTGCTTGTTCTTCGCAGGGCCCAGCCCTGAACTGCTCGCCAGCTTTAGTGAGGCCAGCTGCTGTCCTGAGTGCAGGTGGTGCCCACCTGGGTACTTCAGAGCAGGTGCCACCTTCCCTCGGGCCGGTTAGCAAGGGGACAGGAGGAACATGGGCCTCCTCAGTGCCATCGAGGCCCTGGTGCCCGTTTCCCACTCGCAACACAGGGCCGTGCAAGACGTCAGCCCCCCCAGCAGCCTCCCGCCATGAGGGGGTCCATGAGGAGCGGGGTGGCACAGGAACAAGTTCTCCCCAGCACCTCTCCTGTGCACGGGTGGGTGTGGGAGGCACTGCGTGGCTGCAGAGTAACCCAGGGCCTCCTGCCTGGACAAAATGAGAGCCTTCCCCTAGAGCATAGGGAGCATCGGGACTCAATGAAACTGTAATGTCGGATGAGGAAAAAACGCCTGTCCTGAGGAATAAATTTCACATGATAGACATTTGTGCTTGCCTATTTTTGTCATGGATGAGAAAAGCACATATAACTAGGAGGAAGAGTGGGTTTAACAAGGCAGGGTGGGGAGGAGGCAGTATGACAGATGTAGCTGCCGGAATGACTCCTGTACATCTGCTTTCGTTAGCAAATTACTTTCTCTCGCTTTCTCTCCTGCACAGTGAATTTGAGACTCAGCTGGGATTTTAGCCCTTTGAGAGATTTGCTGTCTGTAGCTATGTTTGCCTGAGGATCTTTGACTTCACACGGTACAGAATGCTAAGACTTCCCAGCTGCCCTTGCAATTTTGTCTGTGCTGAACTAGGGTACTAACATTGCTACTAACATTAGCACATTTTATCAAAAGAGTAATAAAAATGGCTGGGCAAAATTGTTCTGACCATCTCCACTGGAAAATACCATTTCTTCAAAATTACAAAAGTCAAATTTAGCATCCAAGGGGATTTTTTTTTTTTTTAAAGATTAAACAGCATTTTGATTTTGTTTACTTATAAATTAAATTGATAGTTAAGAATCATGATCAGAATGGATGTTTTGCACTACTAAGCATGGTTTTGAATGGGGAGGAGCATCCCTCACCCATGGCTTATATTTGTGTTTTTCTTCACTTACAACAAAACCTTGCAGGCCTTCTGCAGCAGCTTATTTATTCAGAAGTGTATTGACTCCTTGAATAAAATTAATTTTTCTCTAATGTGTAAGAGAAGACATTTTTCATACTTAGCATTCATTCTACTCCTTAGATAGAAAGTATTACTTAGAGTTACACAGTTCCTCCTGGAAACAAAGAAAAAAATGTGAAAGCTCAAATTATTCATTTTTTTAAAAACATGTTTCTGGTAAAAATAAATAAACTAAGCTTTAAAACAGCTTTCTCAGGTCTTACCTGAGAAATGCACATTTCAGCGTGCGTGCTTCTGTATGGGGACAGGACCAGGGAGCAGAGAAAAGCAAGCTGAAGGACTAAAAGAAACTTCTTGGGACTACTCAAAAGGCAAAAAGCCTGATTATTGTCCCCAGAGAGCCCACGCAGGCCTGCAGGCAGAAAAAGACAGCTTTTGACCTACAGCTGCAATAGATTTTTGCTGGGCTGCACCCCAAGACACTTGGCAAAGTTGCCACCAAATTCTCAGCATTTAGCCTAGCAGGAGCCAGCAGCCTGCGCCTGGCAGACCACAGCCTGTCCTGCAGCAGGGGGTTACTGCTCCCATAAGGCTTACCCTGCAGAAACAGGGGACGTTGACCAACCAGGGAGGTGGGGGGTCCCAGCACCCCAGTGGTGAGATTGACTGCGCTCGTCTCAGAGCAGCTCTGCTGGTTTGCCTTTGTAGCGATGCTGCCCTTTTTTCCTTTGCCCCTAGAGCCCATGTGTCAAACTCATTTTCTCCAGGGAAGGAGATGTGATGTCCAGGCTGATAGCATGGGCGGCACTCGGCTGCTGAACTAGAGAGAGACTTTGTAAAGATGAAGCACACAGGCACTCGAATTCCAATTTTTTGTCATTGCGGCTGTTACTCCCTGCTATCTCAGACTTCAGCTGAGACGCCACACTCAAAATCTGTAGCACAGGTTCAGCTGAATCAGCTTCGTTATCTACAGGGACAGGAGGTGAATTTCTGTAGCACACTTGAATCAATTTATAGAAATATTCTTCATGGCACAGGCAGATTTTTTTTCAAAATTCCCTTCACCAGATCCCTGACCAGAGTTTAATTTTCATCATTTGCTCTCTGTCTTCTAGTTTTGTTGCCCTTCCAG